CATCGTTTGGCTGAAATAAGAAAAGAAAAAACACTCAGTTAGGAAAAATATATATATAAAATATTATATGATAATGACAATTCCAAACACCCATGACTATATTAGCCAAGGACCAAAACAGACCAACCAATTAATGTAACCAACAACATAACCCATAGTTAAAACTAGAACTACAAACCAACAACTCCATGAAGCCAAAACCATAATAGCAACACCAAACCAGAGATGTGTAGCAGCCAACTAGTTCCCAACCCAATAACCAAGGACTGAGAGTAGTCCATTCAGACTCTGAACAACCAAAACTAGAACTAAACCAACAAAACATCCAGCCAAACCAAAAATTGCAATAGAAATCATATTGCAAACCATGCAGGAAAATATTATAAACCAACAAAGCAACCAACCAAACTAGAAATTGCAGTAGAAATCATGCAACAAACCATGCAGCCAAAGACCATGAACCAAGAAAACAACCATTCTAACCAGAAACTATAGCAAAATCATGATATAAACCTTGCAACTAAAGAGTCTGAACCAAAAAAATAGCCACCAATACCAAAAATTGCAGCAGAATCATGCTACAAACCATGTAGATAAAGATACCACACATATTATATAATAATGTATGCACATTAATTACTTACATGTGCTTCAGGAGTGAAATAACTAGCTAATTCTTCAGGGATCGTTCCTTCCTTCATTATCATGTAGGCCTTAAAAGCTGATTCTAAATTGTTGTATTTCTCTTGCCATTGGTTTAAAGATGGAATGGCAACACCAGATGAGGAAGAGCTCAAGCTAGAAACACGAAGTCTTGTATTCCTAAATGTATTAGAAGGAACAGCACCCAATCCCATGCATCGTACTCTCCCGGAGTGCTCTGGCCCTAGCACTCTACCAACAACATCTAGAGGAGAAACTTCAGATTCATCAACTATGCTTTGAGTCAAACCTACTTCAATTTGTTCCTACAAACATGTAATAAAATCAAATATAAAAAAGTTTTAAGATTAAACACAATCCTTGAAATCAATGTTTCTAAAGAAAAATTTACCACTATAGTCTTTGCTGCATCATTTACAAATGATCCATCTTTCCTTTTATGAGTTTCAATATATAATTGTCCACGACTTGGTACCTTCCCTATTTCTAGCAACTAAGATAAATAAAGAGTGAGTAAATATTGAAAAAAAATTAATTAGTAAAGTTAACATTTAGTGTCATTACCAACTCATTTCTTCTTCTAGGATTAGCTTTGGAGCCACCAGTGTGTGGAATAACTTGCTTGCTTCGAATTTCTTTATTTCTCTTACAAAGTTCCTATAGGCAAAGCAATTAAAACTTTTCAACTTCACATAGTAATCATATAATTA